CTTCTATGGAGAGCTAGATTAGGATGGCACCCAGAGAAATTTACATCTCCACTATGTCTGGACTGCTTTCAAGATAATACTCTAGAGCATTATATAATAAACTGCACTAAATATAAATTGGAAAGGAAACCCATTGAGGAATTTTTTCTAAAACGCAAACAACAAATTACTGCAAACAAATGTTTAAATGTAGATAGCAATAAAGACATCCAAAAACTGGTTAAACAATACCTTATTAAAACAAATCAAAACTAAAAAGACCAGATTAGGGATTTACTCAGTATAACAGAAGGAACTGATGAGATGGTAACCCTGAACATCCTAGAGTCAGAGAGATAGTGTAAGTATGATGAGGGCATAGATGTGAACATGGACACATACACAAGGATGAGTGCGTGTAGTATGAGTGCATTTGTGTATAGGATGGATACATAAGACACAGTGTATGTAGGTGGATGGTACGGAATCACGTGAGGACGGAACAGTGGGAATATAGTTGTGCGAAAGGTACAGATGAATGAGTACATGGATTTAAATGTTACTGTAGGCATGTATATGTGGGTATGAGTGTGCATGTGTGTATATATATGAAAGCGTGTATATTTATATATTTGTGAGTGTATGAATGACAGTGCAATCAAAGAAACCATAAACTGTGTTGCTGTATGTCTGTTCATTAATGAGAACGAATGGAATGAAGGGTGCAAGCAGCAAGAACGTCATCGCACACCATCCACCAAAACATGATACGTCAGTACCGGACAGGTCACATACCAGTAACGGGACATAGCATAAAAGTGACACGACCAGACGAAATTACAGACAAAGCGACACAACACGCATAAGACATGGAAGAGTGAATATCACTATGTGTGGATGTACTCGTTTTTTTAATGAATGTAAGCACAGGCATTGGTAAACGCATATGAAAGAGTTTGCGTGTGTACGTAATGTCAATTAGGTATGCATATACGGATAAGTATGAAAGCACGTACAAATATGTAGTGTTGTCTGCATGTATGAGTACTCGAGTGCATGTACGCATACACCTAGTTGGGTGCGTCCATATACTACGGGGATTCATAAACAAAACCATCCCACTCCACAACATGCATACAACATGCACATGACCGACAGGACTCATAACAAAAATATGACTGACAGCAAATAGGGAATACAAGTGACTCGATAATGACAGGACTAGAACGCATAGCCTCCAATACCACCCCATCACTGGGATGATAGCAAAGGTTGGTAACGTGATACACATAGTCCCGGCAAAAAGCCACGCTAGAATCCAGCAAGACGGCAACGACGAGAATTGACTGAATGGCCTCCCGCTCCCCTTCCCCCCACCTTTCCCTAAATCTTTCGGATGCACTATGAGTTTAACCCCCCCAACCCATTCCCACAGAGAGCACTTGAGTTCGTTGCCCAGCATGCCACAACAATTCTCGTCGCCGATCATTTGGATCTCAAAGCGTGAGCTGGACGGTCCGGTTATATGGTATTTACGTACACCGGAGCTTAGCTATCAACACAACCTGATCACATAATAACAAATGACGACTGGACTCGCTTAAGACTCCACACAAACTCCCACACACATATCCAATACATGACTAACCCGTTCATATTACAGGAAGACAACTATAAGACCACTATGGTCATACGCGGAAAATTTTCACATTTCGGAACTATTCACATTCAAAAACTGTTTTCAGTACTTTTTGGAAAATTAAAATACTCAAAATTTTAAAACAATAAATGGTGGCCGAAAGGTCGTTGTGTTTGGAAGCTCGCTCTCCTTCGAGATACGCCTAGCCAGATCAAAGGGAGACAGAACAAACAGGAAACACCACGAATGAAGAAGGAAGACTTGCACCAGTGACAACAGGACGAGCGGTTTGATACGGAGGGAAGCATTAAGCCAGAAATGGCACAAACACCAGTATTCAGTCACGAAAGTGACGCAAATAACCCAGACCACAAATATAGGCGGAGACTGTTAGCAGCCTAGGCTAGCTAGCAGCAGTCTGAACGTGGTCGAGCTTTTCTTTTTTTTTTTCTTAAAAGGACTTGGACATTCAGTCTGAACGTGGTCGAGCTTTTTTTTTCTTTCAAAAGGACTTGGACATAAACCGTTGTGTCATCGGGTGTTTATTGCTTGTGTGATGTCCTAGTGGGGTAGAAAGTCACTCATAAACATCAGTGATGGGACTCACAATAGGATAAGATTAGTTGCGTATCCTTTACAGGACGTTGCAGAACCAACCCCAGCAGCCCCTGGCTGTTGTGTGGTTTCTCTAGGCAAATTTACGTCCAGTAGTTTAAAAGGATAAGACAGACAGCAAATATGGAAGACAAATGAATCGATACTGACAGGACTAGATTACCTAACCACCGATTCCATTAACCCCTACCCCAATGGTACGATGGTAAAGACTGGTGACGAAATTCGTATTCCATGGATCTGGTACTTACCTTACCGGAGCCTAGATACCAACCCAAGCCGACGCAATGGGACCACCCTATAACAAATGACGAATCATTGTGAGGCTCCATCTAACATTTAACACACATCTGACACGATTAACCTGTTCTTATAGCAGGAAGACCACTATAAGACCACTATGGTCAAACGAGGAGAAATAGTTTCCCATTTCGGGTCTGTCCAAACCCAAAAACTGCTTTCGGTACTTTCCGGCAAAGTATCAAAGTGCTAAAGTACTTACAATTTTAAAACTGTAAATGATGGTGGTCTGACACTGTGGAGAGAAGCAATAAGATCAGATACGGCGCAAATACCAGAACTTTAGCCACTGAAGTGACGCAAATAAACATGACCACAAATATAGCAGGAGACTGTTTGCAGCTTCGGCTAGCTAGCAGCAGGTTAAACGTGTTTGAATTTTTGATTTTTTTTTTTAAGGGAATTAGAATTGGAATTCTTCCTCTAAAAACTTTAGCAGACACGGCCAGTCTATCAGCTATTTTATTTCCACAGAGTCGAACATGCAGTGACAATTAGATCAATTCAAAACGAGGTAAACTTTTGCAGGTGGTCAATAGAGGCAGAAGGTCAACAGAGGCAGATGGTCAACAGAGGCTGATGGTCAACAGAGGCAGATGGTCAACAGGGGCAGATGGTCAACAGAGGCAGATGGTCAACAGAGGCTGATGGTCAACAGAGGCAAAAGGTCAACAGAGGCAGATGGTCAACAGAGGCAGAAGGTCAATAGAGGCAGAAGGTCAACAGAGGTAGATGGTCAACAGAGGCAGATGGTCAACAGAGGCAGATGGTCAACAGAGGCAGATGGTCAACAGAGGCAGATGGTCAACAGAGGCAGATGGTCAACAGAGGCAGATGATCAACTGTGAAGGCTCCACCGTATCCACATCAACTGAGATTCGAACAAACTTCCCACCATGACGGCACCATGCGCGCAAGTAGCCACGGAATCTTGCCTCCCACCGTCAGACATGCGCTACTTATTTCTTGTTCTCATGACCCCGTTTCACCTGCGACGCCGTTGGAATCCTTCTGTGTGCCTAACAACTGCATCTCGCTCCAGTCTGGTATGATAATACAGGATATTAATGTTTCCCCCCACAACATATTATCTATAACCTGGGGCGCCGAAACCTCTAGGCACCCCTCTCATGTTTTAAGTGCTCCTGAATTAACTTGCTCCTCTGCAAAGTTCGCTCCCTGGCGGAGCCGGACTTTTTTCAAAAATGACCTTGGCTCCGATTGTGGCGATTGGTCTATGAAAATATAGGTCTAGCCCTATATGCCCTATACGGCTTAAGGCGTGGAAAAGGGTCCTTTACTTTTTTTACTCTGCAACTCAGTAATGCTCCACCCCACCCACTAAGTCCCCCACCTTAACATAATTAGCTGTTCTCTTTGTAAGTATTCAATTATCCCCTTTGTATTATTTCAAATATATCATTATCTTTATTTGCCAGAACATAGTAGCAGTAGCAGTAGCAATTTATAATTATTATTACTGCGCACTTAAACAAGACTTGAAACACTTGAGTGTCCGAATGTCAGGCATTTAGACTTTATTATCTTACATGGGGGAGTCGCCGTGGCAGAGCGGCTAGACGCGCGACGCGGATCGGAAGGTCGTGGGTTCGCTCCCTGGCGGAGTCGGAATTTTCTTCAAAAATGACCTTGGCTCCCAGGTCGCCCCAGCCTTGAGTGGGTACCGGGTGCAATCCCTGGAAGTAAAGGCGGCCGGCGTGATGCCGACGACATCACCCATCTTGTGCCGTTGGTCGATAAAATATAGGTCTAGCCCTATATGCCCTATACGGTTAAAGGCGTGGAAAAGGGTCGTTTAATTTTTCTTTTTTTTAATCTTACATGGTCTAACCCCGGTAAATGCCCTTTCAACCGCAAGGTTATATTGGAGTTCCCCACAGTTACAAAGTAACTCGACCACCAGCCCGGTCTCAGGCGCATGGTGTCCATATACAGTGCTAGAGGTCCCGGGTTCAAGCCTCAGTGAAGGCTAGGATTGTTTCCCTTCTAGCGGACTTGTAGTAATTTCCACTGGTCTCTGGGTAGTAAGACTGGACGCCCGTGTGTATTGCTGCGCAGTAAAAAACAATCTTGGCAGTTAAAATTGAAAAAAAGGGTATACCAGCGGCGCTGCGGAGGCAAAATTTTTAGTTAAAAATCTACCCAACAAGTATTTCAGGAACCTCACCGGTGCTACAGAGTTCGTGCACTGTGCGGAGAATTTTCAGACTCAGGCTTACACCCGTGTGCCATGATGTTGATCCATTGAATAAACATAAATATAAACGCAAACATAAGCTGGTACAAGATTTAATTTAATTTAATTTTTTTTTTTAGAGAAATAAACCAATGTATTACAAAAATCTTGCATTCAGAGTAATATCCCAACAAATGTGTACTCAGTTATTCCAGCTTTCTTGTCTCAGTGAAGTTGTGCCGATTTGGTCTATTCTGTAGTTCCACATGCACTTCCGTGCCATCAACCACACGATAGTCAGTCGTAATCTTGTTAGCAAATCCTTTTTCTCCCGTCATGCTCACAAATGCTGTCTGTTGATTGAAGCCGTTGGCATTCATAGGAATATTGACTCGAACTACTTTACCAAACTTTTCAAAATATGTTCGAAGATCATGTCTGGTGCAAGTCCAACTAATGTTTAACACGGAGAGGGTCACCCGAGACAAGGACATGTTGGCTGTAAGGGGCTAAGAGCATTGAGGGGGGGGGGGGGGGGGGGGGGAGCGCCCTTGCATTAAACATACCCGCATATTATTTATGTGCCACGCATACACTATCACAGATGATGAAGATTTCCCAAAGTTCCCACTCCGATGCGTTAAAGCAGCGGTATTCAATCTTCCAGTCGCAACCCTTTTCTTGTGTCGAACGACCCTTTCACATTGATGGCCTAAGACCACCGGAAAACGCATATTTATTAAAGTTACGAAGAAAACCAATTGATTCGGGGTCGCCACAACATAAAGGAACTGTGTTAACGGGTCGCGGCATTAGGCAGTTTGAAAGCCACTGCGTAAAAGTAATCTGCCGTTGTGGGGGGTGATGTAAATAATTGCGTCTCGGAGATAGTGAAGTAGACTAGAAGGCTTCTCGTGTTGATAGGGCGGGCTTCCTTTTCACAGGAAAGAAGAATTTAATGTAAAAGATGAACATGATTAGGGTGATAAATCCGGGAAATTAGGTTACCCTTGTGTTTAATTAAAGTTAATTGCATTCAACAACAAATGTATGAGAAACAATTATTTTAAAAATATTATATAGGATTAATTTAAATCAGAGAAATATCTGGGTAACCACTAGTATTAACAGTTATAAGTCAGAGAAGATGGTGCTACATTGGACACAACCTGAGAAGAAACCAGCAGACAATCACCAAACAGGCATTACAATTGGAATAAAGGGATTTAAGAGGCAAGGACGCCCAAAAGAAACCCTAAGTCGAACGTTGATGAGAGAGGCCAAAGCTGCTGGACTGAATTCCATCCATGATATTGAACTGATAGCACAAGATAGAGCAGAATGGAGGAATAGACTGGGAGCCCTGTGTGACATATAATGGCACAACATGATTATAAATGAATGCGTTTAATTATAATGTTTTTATTTTATGTTATTTATTTCTGTGATCACATGGTTCTTGTTTCTCGGCGTCTGTACGTTATTATTGTAATTGTTGTGGTGGCTGTAAATTGTTGTTGTGTTCTGTTGTTGACAGTGGCAATGATGATGTTCTTGTTTTTGTTGGTGTTGTTGTTCTTATTTCTTCTTCTTCTTCTTCTTCTTCTTCTTCTTCTTCTTCTTCTTCTTCTTCTTCTTCTTCTTCTTCTTCTTCTTCTTCTTCTTCTTCTTCTTCTTCTTTTTCTTCTTCTTCTTCTTCTTCTTCTTCTTCTTCTTCTTCTTCTTCTTCTTCTTCTTCTTCTTCTTCTTCTTCTTCTTCTTCTTCTTCTTCTTCTTCTTCTTCTTCTTCTTCTTCTTCTTCTTCTTCTTCTTCTTCTTCTTCTTTTTCTTCTTCTTCTTCTTCTTCTTCTTCTTCTTCTTCTTCTTCTTCTTCTTCTTCTTCTTCTTCTTCTTTTTCTTCTTCTTTCTTCTTCTTCTTCTTCTTTTCTTCTTCTTCTTCTTCTTCTTCTTCTTCTTCTTCTTCTTCTTCTTCTTCTTTTTCTTCTTCTTCTTCTTCTTCTTCTTCTTCTTCTTCTTCTTCTTCTTCTTCTGCAGATCTTGAAACAACCCTCTAGTTGTCATTTTTACCGTTTCCACAGTTTCATTCAACAATATCTCCAATGTTAAGTTAACTAAACAAGCAGAATCTAGCACAGTCAAATTATGTGGGTCAGTCAATTACCTTTATCTTTTCACTTGTGCATTAGGCACATCAAGGCAGTTTGTATCTCTAGACAAAAAAAAGTCCTCCACGTTTAAAATAAAAAAGGTGATGTACTCACCATTAAAGGTCTGCTACATTAGCCCAGCACCCACATAGACCCATATAGACCCACATAAACACATATAGACCTAAAGAGACCCACAAACCCATATTTTTAAAAATCACTCGACCTTTGATAAGTTATGAAGTCAACATCTTGTCGGCCACATTTACTTGTCATCCTAGTACTTAATTTATTCTCAGTCAAAGTCATGTGTAAAACTGCTGCCCCGATAGGATGTCAACCTTTGCGCACCCAGGATAGTGTCTAGCAACCGGGCTACTGTGTCTCTCCTGTTGTACACTGGTTGGAGTCGGAAATCTGTGCTCTTTGACAAGCAACAGATTTGGAAGTTGTTTATGTTCGCATGTGACCAAAATGGCAGCCACTTCGTCTACCTCCTAATTGTACACGATATGCAATTTCGGTATTTGTTTTGTGTCCATGATTAGATAAGCAACGATTTATCTCTTGTCTGCAAATATAGCAGCACGGTTTCTTGACCTAATTTAAAGGTTTTAAATCAGAATTTCTGTGGAACGTCATGAAGCCGCTTTCCACGCGCTAAGGTTCGTTTTAAAAGTAGGTCGTTTACTTCTTGCTAGGATTTTACCTCCTCCGACAGTTGAAGGGCTTATGCAGAGCCGCGTTAACAGAGCAAACCCGTGAACTGGGGCCCCTGGGAAGAAATTTAAAGGAATATTTTTTTTCTTCTTAATTAAGGGTTCACTACACGGCCTTTTTTTTTTTTTTTTTTTCTAATTTATGACAAAAATATCACTTTTTCAATGTGTTCTTTTTTGTAAAGTTCGGCATTCGTAGAACAGATTACACACAAAGTTTATGTCATTTGTAAACAATTTAGCTTTCAAAAGTAGGCACTTTTTTAAGTTAAAAAACAGTTTAAAAGTTAGTTTTCTCATATCTCTATATTTGTGTGAAATCCTTAAATCTCAGCTAATATAGAGGCTAGAAACGTGAAATTTAGTACGGATACTCCCTAAACAATATTATAGGGACTTGTTTTTTTTTAAAGGTAGATTTTAGAAAGTTTTTGTTTTTTTAAAATTTTATTATTGTCTTATGATGCAATATTTTTTTTTTATTTTTTTTTTACTTTTTCAATAACCCTACACTTTAAAATTCTACGAAAAATATTTTTAAAACATGTTTAAAGTAAATAAACCACACCTGTACCTTTAAATAGGATGAAAGGTCAGAAATCTGTCGTCTATTCTTTATTAGGTATGTTTGTTTTTTAAACTTTTAGGATTCTAATTACATGTTGTTTTTTTCCCACAAGATGGCGGCTATTTCCATGACAACCATGATTTTTTCACACTTAAAGTATGCAATAACATGTATCCCTTTAAATTACCATTATAAAATAATTGCTCTAACTCTGTAAATAAAAATAAAAAATTGTTTGGCGTAGTGACCCCTTTAATGGAAAGTCACTTAGCGTATGAAAGTCGTGGATTCAGGTTCTAGCGAATCTAGGCTTTTAAAATAAAAAATGGCATGTCCTTGACAGCAAGTCGACCCAGGATTAAATTGGTACACGTAAAGTAGGTAACAAGTAAAGACAGCCTGTGTGGTGTCTACTACGTCACCCATGGAGTCGGCCATCCTGTCAGTGCTCTCTAAAAACGTCAAATGTACCCTTAAAACAAAAACCAAAGAAATATCTGGAAATGAGCTTCAGAACAGAACATACTCTTATAGTTGTATCTTATTGTATCTGTAAACCTTATTAAAAGGCATAGTTTTATATACTCTTTGAATGCCTGAAATGTGTTTTAGTAAATTTTCATAGTAGCATCCCCCCCCCCCCCAGGACATTCATCGTGATCAGGTGCCCTGCCAACTGGCGTAGGCGCTCATGCGTCTCCACAGATTACGATCCCTGGTTGCCTGGAACAGCTCTCTTGATGATATCCCTCCGTGCCATCGTTTCAGCCCATCTAGCATCATCTCTCTTGGTCTGCCTTTGCATCTTTTTCCACTGATCTTTCCAGTTGTCACGATGTTCTCCAACGTCTCTCTTCTCATTATGTGGCCAAAGAACAGTGTTTGTCTCTATCTTAGTATTGTGTATAGAGATCTACTTTCATTAGCTTTTTCAAAGCAATCGTTGTTAGTTTTCGTAACTTTCGTCTCAGAAACCACATTTCTGTTGCTACCAAATTCTAGAGCATTACGTTTCGTTTCTGTAAGTTTTTTTTTTGTCAACGTATCAGATTTTAATAACATTGTCGAGCTAGTAATTAGACCTTTCACCCCGGTAGCCTTTGAAAAAAGGGGAGTATCACTTATATTATTTCGAGATATTATGGTTACCCTAGGAGTAGGCGTCAGCGTCTGGGGCTTAGGCGTTGCGAACGCGCTTCGTAATGCCGAGGTGCCGGGTACGATCCCTGAGGCGGATGGGTTGGCTTGCGATGGTTTCAACAGTAGTACCGAGAGCCGACCGTTCAGTAGCAATGGCAAACTACTGGAGGTAAATTTGCCTAGAAAAATCACAGCAGCCAGAAAGTGCTGGGGTTGGTTCCTCAACGTCCTGTAAAGGATTCGCAACTTTTAAGGAGTAGGCAGCAAAGTCTCTGCACCTGAGAAGTTAGGGCAACATAGCTAGTGCTGTCGCCTTGGAGTGTGCAGGAGAGGATATTTTTCCACCACCTATAGTTTTTAGACTAATCAATACTTGGTCGGTGATGCATGACTTTACCTGGTACTACTGGTTTGAGGGGGGCCGCGTTAGCGCAGTCGATAAGAGGCTCGCTTTTAAATCCAGCTGCGACTCGCTGCAGCCCACGGTCGGTGTTCGAAACCGGGCGGCTTCCGGGGTTCACCCAGCCTCTAGGAAATGGGTACCAGAGTTGACACTCTGGGGTAAATGGAGGAACGTCGCTGTAGCTACAGAGTTACGTTCGAACGGCGACACAGGCGGACAATTCTTATCAGTTGTCCGTACTGGTAGCAGAGCATTTATGGTTTATAAAAGTGTGCAATGACGCTGGTTCACATCTCCCGACTTTACCTTTACCTTTACTGGTTTGAGGGTGGGTCGATTTGGAAGCCAAGATTATTTTAAAAACAGTTTTGTTCAATTCTTTTTTATACCCACGATTTCTGAATCCGCAGGCAAGCGTGGGCTACACCACGACATATATAGGTTAGTTGCGTATCCTTTACAGGACGTTGCAGAACCAACCCCCAACAGCCCATGGCTGTTGTGTGGTTTTTATAGG